CACCCTGTATATACACATATACGACAAATGACGATAGTCAACATAAGGCGGCACAGAACACACGCACCGACACAGAGACCATCGGTCGACACATCCGCGCAAGATCGTTATCGAAGATCAAGGCGGCGTGCGGCACAAGATCAAACGTTTTCGGCGCCTGTGAACCCGGGCGCTCGGCTTCCGTGATCTCCGCACCCCTTTGTTTTTTTTCCAATGCTTGCGAGCCGCGGATCGATGGTCGATAGGCGGGCTTAAGGGCCCACCAATAAGATTTCGGGAAATTTCCGGGAGTTTCAGTGGGGGATCGCGGTATATATAGTCGAACGTGATGTTCAAAGACACAGTCTTTTCGTGACGAGCAAAGAATTCAGTTCGCTTACAATTCGGAAGCGCGACACTTGCCAAGCAAGATTGCGACGGATGTGCGCGATAAGGTCTTGTCCGATTAACGAAGGGACACTAAGCGTCACCGCGACGTATACGTGCGTGTGTTCGAAGCGAGTCGCTATCCGAATCCTACGAATCAGTGCCAAAAAGAGGGTCGTCTCCTAAGCGTTGCCGCGACCCGAGCCGAGCTTGAGACGTCGTCGTGGCTCAGAGTCGATCCTCGAGGCATTCTAAGCGTTGCCGCGACCCGAGCCGAGCTCGAGACGTCGTCGTGGCTCAGAGTCGATCCGCGAGGCAAGTCGGACTCGCGACGCGAGTGAACCAAGAAGCGTACGATAGCTGTTACAAACTCAAGTGTACTGAACAATATAAAATAAACGTTTATACGAAACCACAGTGTCAAAGGCGTTGACGCTGACCACAGAACAGTTTTGTTTCACTTATTCACATAAATATTTCTTTTTATTTTTGAAAAAAAGTTGAATGTATGTATATCAGTAAGCATATTGTAACATACGTCTATCAAAATTTATCCTTCGCTATTAATAAGTTCCCTATGGCAGATACACGCATGTTACTCATGGTTTCTGTTTTAGTGTCAAGGTAGACATATTATGGGAAGAATCGACGTATATAATCAAAAGTGAAACTCGTAAATGTGTAGTCTTCATGCGTAGCTATGTACAATGGCTTCGAATAAACTTTACATTAAGAAAACTTATCGGCTAGCACGTATTGTAGTTTTTGGAGAGAGACCAGCGTTACGTTGAAATCTCTTGATGAATCCAGGATTTGTATTGGGCCAAATTAACGTAGACGATGTATATTTTTTTATCGCAGATTAAAGTGACATTTGCAGAATACGGAGTCAGGGAAAGAATGCCGCGCAATTGATAACGACCCGTGTTACTGTCCAGAAGCTGTCCAGAAGCACTGGCCCGCTCTCGCTGTCACCGTGGCAAGGGCTGACTTCTAGCGAACCGGCGCAAAAAGTGCGTGGCGAGGTGATATCGTCGAACGAACGATTGTTTCGAAGACAGGTCTCCTGTAATTTACGCAACAATGATTAATCGGATCATCATTTACACAATTTTATACGATAGTGCGGAATACGTTTTTTATATGTCGTTGGAATCTTGTTAGTGCAGAATTGCGTTGTCAAGGCTGATCACCAACATTCAAGTACGCATCTTTATCGTGTGATCAAAAACAGTTGGAACGTTGCGTTGGTCAGTTTAACTCGGGGCCTACAATGACTCTGACAAGCCCAGTTTGACATAAAAATAGGCAATGATAATAATTTTGTAATAGCAATTAAATGTGACAAACGTAACGAAATTAAATGGAGTATCACGCGCTTTATTTTTAGAAGATCGTTTACGATTGCAATTTAATTCGTATGTCGAACAATCAGCGAAACTTGGAAAACCAGTTCTCGCGAAGGTGCTTACCTAATTCACTATTGTTACTCTAGTCATCCGTTGTTCGTGAACATAAAAACGACCCAACGCGTCTTCGCCCCATCCTACGATATATCTTGTTCTATTGACGACGTCATCAAGACTGAACGAACCGGACCATAGACAAATAGGTTTGATTATAGGGCTAAACTCGATGGGCTGCTTGAGGATTAAAATTGCTATGTCGGAGTCGGCGTTGCTCTCAGATGTACATTCAGGATGAATATTGTAGCTCATGATCTCCGAATTGCCAATTCAGTCTCTGCGATACTGGCGCAAGTCAATTTGTCCCATAAGTACCTCCAACACGTCGGGCTTTAGGAAACGTTTATTGTCCAACAGACAATGCGCCGCTATAACGAGAAAATATATGTATGTATAAATTACATTTTCTTATAATCTGCACTTTCTATTCGGATGTATCCTATAAACCCTTCCATATTACATTATATGTGTAATGTTCTTTTAGTTAGTTTAAATACCTTATTAATATTACGGAAAGTAATTATTTATGCGTATAAAATATTTTAAATAAATATTTATGATAACGCAGCCCTCTTTACTCTAAATTATGTCAAGTTGTCCTGGATGTATAAAAATAATTGCGAGGACATATGCTTATTCAGTAATTATACTAGATACTTTATTTCTTTTGCATGTTCCCTGATTATTCAGGTGAATTTTTAGTATCTAGAAAAATGTATGGAATTCTATTTTATTACGCAGATAAGAATAAGAATCTCGCTATTGAGATTCAAGAAAGCAGATGTAGGACAAGAAGTTCTCGACATGGCTCGACATAAAGAGCAATAATAATTATTCATTATAGTTGCGTATTTCTTTGGAAACATAGAGCGCAATTACCCACGGCCATTGTCCTGGTAGTGTGTTCTCACCGCTAGGGCGTAGATTGTTTGTATTATCGGTGTAATAGTTGGTGATACCATATTCATCGTTGTTCGGAAAAATCGGATTGTGAATACGGTATCTGGTTATATTTTGATGCCATAGCTGAAAATTTTGCGATGGTGGCTCTTCGTTTTTTTTTCTTAAACTAAGAAAGGAAATTTTATATTCTTTCGAGAAAAGAAATTATTTCAAAACACAATAAAAGCTTATAATATTTTTTAATAATAAAGTTTAACTTATATGTATATAAAGAACATAGAGACTAAGCGTGCCTGGAACATCTTTTCCTCTTGACCGGTTTTGAAGAAAAAAAAATGGGGAATCCACAGACGCATATTCGATGAGTCAGTCAGCTCGTTAACTTTTCAACTTGACCGAGAACCCGAAGACTAATGTTTTCGTTAACACACATATCCATTACATATTTTCCACTGCACGCTAATCTTACGCAATTATTAAACATACTTTTTCTGTTTTGTTATGCTTACTTTCGGTTCGAATCTTTCATTACATAACATTTTAATAACTTCTCAAATCGCCGTAAGAGGAAACTTTTTCTATAACTTTATTTAATTGCAATTCTAGTTGAAGCGCATTCAATCAGAAAAAAACAGACAAAAATTTTCAGAAATTATAAGATAAAACGGTAATTGTTCACTATAGGGGAGTCAGCTCCGATGACCTTGACCTTGACATATGTTGTCAAGGTTACCCTCCTGAGTAACGCTCAGAAGGTTTTAGCCGTCGCTCGTTGTTTGTTAAAAAGTTATTAAAAAAACAATGTCGACCATTTATATGTAATTTTCAGACACAAATATTAAAAATTTTGAAAAATGTTTTAAACAAAAGTTGTAGATCTCTTTAAAATATATATTTTATGTCCTATTCATTTTTACTCTACGAGTGATAGTTTTCGAGAAAAATGATGGAGTCTAAATCTTATATCTGTCCTCTCATCTAAGCATGTGCTTTGTAGTACATATACGATTCCATATGGATTTGCGACTTTTCACGTGAGGCGAGATCCACTCCACACCTCGGACGTAGTTTGGGTTAGGTTATATCTTAACAAAGTGGAGCCCCCCCGCAGGGGGGGCGGAACATACTGTCTCCACGCATGTACTTCCGATGTTGTACTGTTCCACGTGGGTTTGCAACTTTCCACGTGAAGCGAGATCCACTCCACACCTCTGACATAGGGTGGGTAGGGTTATTTTTAACGAAGTGGAGCCCCCCCGAAGGGGGGGCGGAACACACTGTCTTCACGCATACATTTTTCCATCTACATTTGGTAGAGGGGAGTGACTTATATGTAGGTAGAAATA